TACATACTGTAAACTTAATTCTGTGAACTGGAATCCTGCTTTATTAAGGTCTATGATTGTATGGAATACTGTACTCATATTTAGAAGGAGAACTCATCAAATTTGCTGATGACACCAAGCTGGCAGGAATAGCTAACATTCCAGAAGATAGGCTCACGATACAGAAGGATCTTCACAGACTTGAACACTGGGCTCTGTCGAACAGAGATTTAAGGGTGAAGAAAGTAAGGTTCTACATTTAGGCAAGAAAAACCAAATGCATAGGTATAGGATAGTATAGGTGGTACCTGGCTCAATAGCAATACTGCGAGAGAGATCTTGGAGTCCTAGTGTGCAATCACTTAAATATGAGCCAGGCATGTACTGCAGCTGCCAAAAAAGTCAATGCAGTCCTAGGCTACATTAACAGAGGGAAAGAATCAAAATCATGTGAAGTGTTAGTATCACTTGTAATGCCTTGGTAAGACCACACTTAGAATATTGCATCCATTTTTGGTTTCCACAATATAAAAAAGATGTTGAGACTCTAGAAAGAGTGCAGTGAAGAGCAACAAAGATGATTAGGCGACTGAAGGCTAAAACTTATGAAGAATGGTTGCAGAAATGTTGATATGTCTAGTGCCGTGGTGGCGAACCTATGTCACGCGTGCCACAGGTGGCACGCAGAGCCCTCTCTGTGGGCACGCACACCATTGCCCAAGTCCTAGGCCTTCAGCTGGGTTTTATAAAATCTTTTCGCTTTAGGCCTCTTCCGCCGTGTGCCCCCCCAAAAATGGTTCAATCAATTTCAAATTCTCGCGGGGAAAAAAAGATATCGCAAAGTTGGAATTGATTGATTGAACTTTTTAGTCCCACCCAGTCTGCCGTTAGCACTGAAGCCACGCCCACCAAATTGGCCATGCCCACCAAATTGGTCACACCCACCCAATGGGCCACGCCCACCCGGCCCCCGACAATACATAAGTGGGGTTTGGGTTGCAATTTGGGCACTCAGTCTCTAAAAGGTTCGCCATCACTGGTCTAGTGTAATGAAAAGAAGGACTAGAACATGATATCAGTGTTCCAATATCTCAGGGGTTGCCACAAAGAAGAGGGAGTAATCTATTCTCCAAAGCACCTGAAGGCAGTTCAATAAGCAACAAAACTAATCAAGGAAAGAAGCAACCTAGAACTAAGAAGAAATTTCCTGACAGAACAATTAATCAGTGGAACAATCTGCTCCAGAAGTTGTGAATGTTCCAACACTGGAAGTTTTTAAGAAAAGACTGGACAACCATTTGTCTGAAATGGTATAGGGTTTCCTGCCTGAGCAGGGGGTTGGACTAGATGACCTCCAAGGTCCCTTCCAACTCTGTTATTATATGTTCTATGTTCTCAAATAATTCAAATAATGTAATAAATACTACTTTAAATAATAGGGCTTCAAATAAGTCCCAATGGGAGTTAATACTGACCACTTTGAGGAACCCTATCTACACTTTACACCATAGTTCTCTATTGCTATCTAGTATACGATGATTTCTTACAATTCATGCTCTTTTTCTTATCTCTCCCTGGGATTTCTTTTTGTTCTCTGTTGTCACATTTAATGGCCATCAGGTGGCAATCTTGCTCCTTTTGAAGTAGTTCTTTTCCTCACTATGTCTCTATACTTTCGGTCACTGGAGGTCGATTCCTCCAGTGGTTTGGGGGTTTGGGGTTTTTTTTTCTTCTTCTTCTTGACGTCTCTCTATTTTCAGCTGTATCAAGGGGGTTGTTTATTGGCAACTCTGCCCTGCAGACCCTGGGAGGGAGGGAAATAAAGGAAGTGCTTGCTGTTTTCACACTAGCCTGTGTGTTGGAGTTGTGGGTGCTCCATCACTGGGTGGGCCATTGAACTAATAGAAGATCTCTAAGGTCCCTTCCAATCCTGTTTGATTCCATAGATACACGAAGAGGGCTGGTAAGAACAAGGATTCCACATCTATACACTGTGCAATCTATTAATGGTCTTCATAATGCAATGAATAAAATGATAGAAAAACAGAAATATTTTTAAAAGACACTAAATTAAACATTTTACTGTCCATATGTTTTTAATCTTGGTTTTTAATAGACTGCAACAATGTACAACAATGGGTATGTATTCATACCCATAGAGGACCCAAAATACCTGCACCAAATGTAAATTAATTAGAATACTGGAAGAAAAAAATGAAGGGTCTAAAGGCAAGCCTAGCTACTCTTGAGACTCAACCAAGAAAATGAAGAACACCCAGTAAAAGCAGAAGTCCATGTCCAAATTGAATACAGAAAGGAACAAACAACTACCAGGAAAAATGAACCCCCTAGACTAGGTAGGTAGATGGCAGCATGTCACTCACATGACAAAAAAAAATAATCAAGAAGACTGTCCAGTCTAGCCCTGCAGGAGTGGAGCAATCGATTTCATATGCTCCCCCTGGAAGAAAACATGCAGACATCCGGAGAAGAGATTTCATTCAAATATTCCAGTGACAGGAAAAAAGGTGTCTGTTGGTGATAGGTGGCTCATTTCTCCAGAGGAATAGAATCAGCCATTTGTAGACCAGACAATCTACCAAGGTAGGTATATTGTCTCCAATATGCAAAAATAAAAGATGTGACAGAGAGGCTTCCCAAAATAATCAAGCCACAGATTATCCCTTTCTCCTCTTTCATGTTGGGACAAAAGGTATAACAAGGAACTTGAA